CTCTCAACTACTCCATTTTGTTGAGGGGTTTTAGGTGCTGAAAAATTATGACTAATAACATTAGAATTACAAAATTCAATAAATCCAAGATTTTCAAATTCAGAGCCATGATCACTCCTAACACTAGTTATAGAGTAACCCTTTTCATTTTGGATTATTTTTGAAAATGTGATGAACTGTTCTAATGCTTCATCTTTAGTACTTAAAAATAGAACCCAAGTATATCTAGAATAGTCATCTACCAAGACAAATGTGTATTGTTTTCCACCCAAGCTAGTAGTCCTAGTTGGCCCAAAAAGATCTACATGGATCAATTGTAATACTCTACTAGTTGATACGTCATTAATGGATTTAAACGAAACACGCTTTTGTTTTCCTTTAGCACAAGCATCACAGATTTTATCATTATCAAATTTAAGCTTAGGCAACCCTCGAACTAAATCACCTTGAATTAGCCGTTGCAAAACACTCATACTAGCATGTCCTAGTCTCTTTTGCCATAACCAACTATCATGTTCATCTTTAGCAACTAGGCATAAATTAGTCATATCAAAAGAATCTAAATGCACCATGTAAATGTTCCCTATTCTATGACCAACAAGCATAATCCGATTAGATGCAATGTCAATGACTTTACAATCATTAATTTCAAATAAGACATTGAATCCTTTATCACACAATTGACTAATACTCAAAAGATTATGCTTTAATCCATTCACATATAAAACATTATGCAATGTTGATTATCAAAATTAAGAGCATATGCATAAAGTTTTACAAAGATGTTATGCATTAAATATTGATATCGATTTAGAGAGATATCATTAAAACTTTGAAATTACTTGCATAAACATTAGAACAAAATTTAAGGTCAAAAATCAAATTGTTTGAAAATTGATATCAATGGTTTAAAATGAATATCAATTACGTTAAAATTTTGACCAAGTTTTATTATGATGAACTAAAATTAAAAATATAACTTTAAAATGTTCATCATAACCATATTTTCAACATACATGAGAATAAAACAATTATGCAAAATCAAAAATTATTCAATATTTAAAACCTCATGTATGCACAAACTAAATGAGCAACCAAATAAAATAATAACATTAAGTTTAGAGGTTACTCATTCCTTTTTCATGTGTGGCTAGAGCATCTTGAATATCATCATCTTCATCACCATTGCTCCCACACATCTACAAGAGACATTTAAGTGTATTTTGGTATCCAAATTGCTTTGGATCCTTGAACATTAGTTTCAATGCCTCTTGTTCCTTTTGGAACCCATACTTGTCTAATTTTAAATCGTTTTCCTTTCTTTAAAGGACAAGTATGTTCCTTATGACCATGATAATGACAATGTGAGCATATTGTCATTATTGAACTAGATGAATTATTTAAAATGATCTCTTTTTCTTTTGTTAAACATTCAAGCTTAACTTCTAAATCGAAATTTTCCTTTTCCATACTTTCAAATTTTATCTTTGAAAGCTCTAAATTCTTCTTCGAAATTTCATTTTGTTTTTCAAAATCCATTTTAGTTTCTAGAAGAAGTTTGTTTAATTTGAAAATTTCTTTTTCAAAGTTTTCCGATTTTATTTTTGAAAGCTCTAACTCCTTTTTCAACATTTCATTTTTATTTTCCAAGTCCTTTTTAGCTTTCAAAATAAGATCATTTTTAGTAATAAATTTAGAAATCAATTTATTGTATTTGGAGTTCATGGTCTCAAACTCCGAAAATAATTCATCATAAGCATCTTGTAACTCACTAAAAGATTTTGAATTTAATCTATTTGAGTTAGAAGATACCTTTGGCTCTGTGAGAGCTAATAGAGACATCACTTTTATTGGTTCTTCTTTTTCCTTGTCTCCATAGATCTCCTCAAGCTTATCCCACATTTCCTTGGCACTTGAACAAGAAGAAACTCCTTTATATACATTAGGATCAATTGCACAACATAACATATGCATAGCCTTTGTGTTTTGTTGAGCTTCCTTCTGTTCTTGATTACTCCACTTCTTTACCTTCTTCGTAGGAAAAGAATATCCGTTCTCGATTATCATCCAAGCTTCCATATCATGTGCTTGAATAAACATCATCATGAACCTCTTCCAACGACGATAATTTGTTCCATTGAAGTGTGGAGGCACGCCAATTGGTCTGGATTCTTCCATGGAGAATGAACCGGAAGTGGACGCCATCTTTATCGATTTAACTCTTCCCGGATCTACTCAAGAGGTGATTAAACCTTCAAATGAGTGAGGCTCTGATACCAATTATTGAGTTAATCGATCGACGGAATTAGCCAAGAGGGGGTGAATTGGCAATTAAAAATTCGGTGGAAGCTTTTGTAGAAAATTGAAAAGATTTGCACAACGATTTTGAGTGGTTCGACTTTCTCAATCAAAGTCTACGTCCACTACCTTAGCTATCCACACTAAGGATTTTCCAACAAATTCATTAATTTGTTCTTTCTTTTGAGGCCAAAGAGATAACCTTACAACACCCTCAAGAATATACCCCAATTCTTGAGAACACTCTTTTGCCAAAGAGAAGATTACAAATTTGCAAACTTACAAGGAAAACCTCACAAGGTAAGATGTTTGCACAATTCTAGAACAAGAAAAGAACACTCAAAGATAATTACAAATGAGCACAAATGGTGTTCTTGAAAGCAAAATGAATATTGAAAGGAAAATTGGCTTGATTTGCACAAACTTGGTGTTTGATGCTTTCTCTCTTGTTTCTCTATGATTTCTTGTTGATCAAGGGCTTCAGAACTTGTTTAAATATACCTTGAATCTCTTCTGAACGTTGGGGATGATTAGTGAAGATCATATAACCGTTTTAGTGTGAAAACAATTAATAAAACAGTTTGGAGCGTGGGGGGAATCGGTACCCCCTATGGGGAATCGGTTCCCTAAGTGTAAAATTCAAATATTTCGACCGTTGAACAGGGGGAATCGGTTCCCTCCGAGCATTCTGGAAATCTCAGAGCCAAACCATTCAGGGGGGAATCGGTACCCCCTTGGGGGGGAATCGGTTCCCTCTGAGTAATCTGGAATTTTTGGCTTTGAAATGGTTCGAAATACTTTGAAAGATTATTTTGAAATTGTTTTAAGATTAAAATTTAATTTTACACTTAAGTAAGGATTAAAAATGATTTTTGAAATATTTTGAGTAATTATATCGAATATACTTAGAAAATCATTTTGGAAAATCTTAAAATTCATTTAACTTAATTTGTTATATCGAAATATCAAAATGTTTTCAACATTATTTATTATATATATATTTATATGACTACATAATAATAATAAAAATAATATTTAAATATAAACAAGTACAATTAAAACATAAATAATCAATAATAAAAATAAAATTAGAACTATATATTTAAAAGCAGTAAAACTTTATGAAAATATTTAAAATTAGTGACTAAATTATAATCTAATAAAATTAAATACCTAATTCGTAATTATTTAAAATTTCAGGGATTAAACATGCTATTTTCCTTATTTATTAATTTGGTGACTAAAATAAAACTATATAAAATTCGAATATCATATTAAAATAAATTAAAAATATATACTCGGGATTAAAATATTAATTATTAAAATTAAAGGACTAAATATGATATTTATCCTAAATATATTATTTTAATATAAAGGACTAAAATAAATAAAACTAAAATTAAAGAACCGAATTAAAAGGATTATAAATTGATTTAGTTACTAAAATGTAAAGTTTACAAATTAGGATGGCTGCGGAAAGGATTTAACTTTTATTTAATTACAAACAAACCCCTCCCCAAAACGGCGTCGTTTGGAGAGGGCTATTTAAACCCATAACCGGCTGGCCCGAAGGGCCAGCTCTCATTTCTCTCATTTACTCTCTCTCTCTTCTCTGAGAGAATTCAGAATTCTCTCGCTTCTCTCTAAAACAGAGAGAAGCACACCGGCCGGCAGCCGTTCGCCGGCGTTGACCTCGCCGCCGGCCACCGCATCCGGTGGCTGGGAAAAATCTTTTTACACCTAAAGATAGATCGGACCATCCTATTGATGGTTCCGATGACCGTTTCCCTTAAAACATTCCTGATCAGAGCAAATCTACAAGAATACCTTCGGTTTTCGAAGGTTTCCGATGACGTGTGAGGGCTTCGGTGATGTTGCAGTAAGTATCTCTCCGTCTTTTCCTTGCTTATTTTTGGGTTTGTGGTTGCTGGTTGTTGTGAGTTGGTCTCTATTTTTGTATCTTTGCTCTCGGGTTTGTTTCTCTGTGGCTGTTGTGGTTGCTCCTTTTTTTTGTTCTCCGTTCGTCCTCTTTTTTTTTTCTTTCTTGGCAGGGGGCTCGGTGGCTTTTATAGCCACCACCGGTGATGGCTTCGGACGGTCCAAAAGGGGTTCTTCGGTGAGTGACCGGACTTCCAGTGGTGACTCACCATTTGGGGGAGACGTTTGCGGCTGGAGTGGCTCTTCTGGAAGCCTTCGACGAGACGTGGCAGCGGTGGAGATGGTGGGAGTAGCTGCGGCGGCCGCGTGGTCCCTAGGGTATCATCACCCTAGGGTTTGTGCTGGATGCGTGGGGGCCGTTGGATCTCTCAGATCCAACGGCTGTGATGCTAAGGCGGCTAGATGATGATATGGAAACCCTAAATTGGTTTTAGGGTTTCTTGATGGGTTTGGGCTTCCTGATGGGTTTGGGCCAGTTGAGTCCTTTGTAACTGGGCCGGTTCAGTCTGATTTGGGTCTGTAATAATATTTATTAATAATAAAATAATAATAATAATAATAATAATAATAATAATAATAATAATATTTAAATGAAAAAAATGAGTATCTTCAATGTGGAAATGAAGGACGTATGAGGTCACATGATGGTTTAGGTTAGAAAAAGAAATATGAAATCCAGGATTGTAGAAGTTGGGGAAAAAATACCTCTTTAGCAGTTCCTCCATTTGGTGTATTAAACACTTTGCCTGTACTCGCAGTTCCTATCTGTATGCTACCAGCATGCATAAATGTGGGCAAGCAACAAATATATAAAGTTAATATACCCAACATAAAGGCAAGTTAGATTCGACAAACCTTCCGGCACGCCTTGGCCTATTAATCTAGCCTTTCGGCCGATCTGCTCGAATGCTTCATTCATAGTTTTCACAGGGAAGAACCAAGTACTCTCACCACTTGTTTGCTCAAGTCAACTTCCACACTCTTGACTCCTTCGTATTTATGAACAAAAATAAACACGAAATGAAAGAACATTAAAAGAACAACCCTTAAAAGCCTAAAGAGATAAATCATGCACAAAATTATTACTGTTTCTTTACCATAAATTATTTGTAACTTATTCTTGGCCGCACTAACACAACCTTCACACTTCATATCCACTATATACTCTGTCTGATAAAAAAATAAAAGACCCAGAATTTTTTACATATCAGCAAAATATAAGGACTAATCAACAATAAGCATCCAATTCATGTTAATGCAAAAGGGGGGCAGTCAATTTATAGGAGAATAATCTTTGTAAAAGAATTAAAATGATCAAGATGTTGACATACAAGCAGGTCAGGCAAGGACCCGTTTTCCTGCAAATTCAAAGATACAAAGGATCAAACATAATTAAAGATAATTGCTTTGACGTGAAAATAAATGGGCAGTGCTCAAAATTGGCAATTCAATGGCAAACCTGAGATGGGTTGTGATGAGATGGGGGATAATCTATGTTAAGAGCAGCGGAAGAAGTGATGTAGTTCCTTGTAAGGCCTAGGCGATTGGGTGATGAAGAGAGGAAAGGGAGGCTTCTGGTATTGGGGAAACGAAACAATTTGCAAGAGGAGGGAGAAGAAGAAGAAAAAAAAGAAGATAAAGAGAGACCAGCGTGCGGAGGCGGAACAGAGGCAGCGGCTATGGCGGTTATGTGGGTCAACGACTTCAAAAATGATTGGTTCTTTTATTGAAACGGACCAGATGGTTTAGTTTCCAGATGCTTGTAAGGTTAGTTTGTTTCCCTATAATTAATTTTTTTTAATATTTTACTCATTTTTTTCAATGTTTCGTAGATAAAAATATATATTCAATCATTTTTCTAATCAATTATTTTTTTTATTTTTTAAAATATGAGATCTAATTTCCATAAAAAAATTCAGTTTCACTTTAAAATATAAACATTCAAAATATTATTATTTTATATATTTAATATTAAAATATTATTTTAATAAAAATATTAATTATTTTAATAAAAATATTAATTATTAAATTATATTTATCGGACTTACCCAGTTTTCCCGATGCTTGTAAAATTGTTGTTGTTGGGTAATGATTTCTTTTGGTAAAATGTATTAAAGGTTATTGTATTAAGTTTATATAACCGTTATGGTTATTAAATATTAACATTATGGGTAAAGTATACCAATGGTCTCATATTATACGATGTTATTTTGTTGAATCTTCTGATTATTAAAAATTATAAAATAATTCATTAACTATAGGATATTGCTCTTTTTAGCCCTTAGCTATTAAAGTTACAAAATAGTCAATCGATTATTCATTATGTTTTAAATTTTTCATTTTATATTAAAAGATTGTCGATAATTTGAGTTGAATGTTAATATGATATCTGAGATACGATAAAATTTGATCCCAAAATATTAAATGATTATCATATCTTAGACATCTAACTCTGACTGTCGTTAATTTTTAACAAAAAAGGACGAGCTTAATGAATAGTCAAGTAATCATCTTGTTACTTTTAATAATCAAAGAATTCAACAAAGTAACTTCTTATAGTCGGAGATTATTATTAAGTAATTGTTAATTATTAAATTTAAGGGATATGTGGTATACTTATAAAATATTTTTATTATATAGTGTAAGTTGATATATTTTATATAGTGTAACGTTATAACATTTAAAGTTATTTGATAAAATAGAATATAGTTCATTAAGGTTCTTAGTTCAAGGATCTATGTCTATAAAATATATGTGCATTATTAATTAGTTAAGGAAGTTTCAAATATATAATATTTTTTAATCAGATTATTTAAAAAAATAAGTTTCAAATAATACAATAATTTATATTTTAAAAATATTTTTTAACAATAATATACTAAATATTTAAATCTGATCAGTTTTCCATATTAATTTTTAAAAATAATGGTAAACATGATTTTTAAAAAATATATATATAGAGTGATTAATGTAATATATGTAGAAAATATTTTGTAATAAATAATAATATATAGACTTTTAGACCCAGATTAGGCTTTTCTTCTTGGTACCGTACCTGCTCTTTCTCACAATTTTTTTTCGTCTATCTTATAAATATAATTGTTCAAATTAAAATTTTAAGAAAAGTAATATTTTTTATCATTAAAATTATTTAGTAGGTTGAATAGAGATATTTTTTCACCTTTAGTCCCTTTTAGGCAGGTAATTTTCTCACTGTGTCATTTTCATGTATGGTAACATTTAGGGAGCGCTTAAGTAAATTACATTACCCTTTTATTCTACTTGAATAAAGAGGGATGATTTCCTTTGAAGAAACTATTGATTCCTCGCATCTCATTCCATCTGCCTGCATTTATAACACACTCTCCCATCTAATCTCATATATCACTCTACTTCATGTGATTAAAAGCTTCCCAAGAGACATTTAAAACTTTCTCAGGTACGTTGTAAAGTGAAAGAGATTAGCTGAAGAAGAAAACACCCTGCACCATGACAACGGCAGCCTTGGTTCTCAAGTGCTCCCTCTTATTAATGCCAACAACGGGCTGTTGTTTTCTGGGTAAGTTTCGTCCAATGTTTTCTGTTATCTCCTGTTGTTTCTTGTTATGGAATTGGTAAATTTCGGAGGAACCGCTACTTTAACCAAACACAACCCCAGTAAGCCTCCATTCATTAGATTATCGATAAGGTGTAGATGAACAGGACGTTCGAATAACATCATTTTCTGCTCGACTTTACGTTTGTAGGTTTTGGGAAGTCCCTCTGTGCTGCACCAGGGTAATGTTCATTGTTATCTGACACTTGTTACGACTCTTGTTTGTTGATGTTTCTGCAGATCTGTTGGGTCGTCAGCAGCACCTCCTCTGTTGGAGTATAAATCGAGCTTCTTATGGGTTAAACTTGTCGGGGGTTTGGTACAGCTTTTGTACAAGGGAAGCTAATGTTTGTGATTTTGGTTTCAGGCTTACTTAATATTTTGGTAATTAGTGTTATCTGATTCCTATCTTTGTAATTGGTTTTAGAATCTAATATAATGTTTGTATTGCTACTTTATTCATCTGGTAATCATTTGCTTATTATTATTATTATATTATTATTATTATTCAAATTAATTAGGCTATTTTCTCATAATATGAGCTTTTAAGATCTACTTATTTATTGTATGTGTTTTTACACAAATGACATACAATTAAATTTTGAGAATATGATACTGATTAGACGACCGATACACATCCTGTATTCGGTACTATTAATCATCAGAATTAAGAAAATAAAAACAAACCAGTAATAAGTTAAATAATCTTTTAAAAAAAGAAATACATGTCATATGTGCAGAACAATTACCACAATAAATATGTTTGAGTTTTATCTTTAATCATTTGATATTGTTGAACTATATTTTGATATAACAAATTAAGATAAAATGATTTTGGACTTGAATTGAATTTATTCAAAGTTTTCAAAAATAATTCAAAGTCCATTAAAAGTGAATTTGAGCACCAAACAGTTTTTCACGTACAAGAAATATCAATATTGTTCTTATAGTATTGATATTAAATGAACAGTATTGATATTGTTTATGTGGTGCTGATACTCAAGGTAAGAGAAGTATCGATACTCTAAATGTAGTATCGATACTACCAGCATTGCTCAAATTCCATAATGCAAAAATGATATTGATACCCAAAGGGGTATCGATACTACTTTACATAGTAGTATCGATACCATAGGCTTAGTATCGATACCGTCAGGCCCAATGGCTAGTAACAACTAGTTTTATTTAAATATTACAAAGGTAGTACTGATACTCTCTATAGGAGTACCGATACCCTATGTACTAGACAATTCTATTTTGCAAGAAAACATGTCACACCCCAATTTAGGTGTTAAATTTTTAATAAATTTAAGTATAGAATTAAAGTTGTATCAAGGGAGAAATTGAGGACTAAATTATAAAATCTCAAAGCTAACATATCATTTTAGGAAGTTGTAGGAAAATCCAGGGATGTGAACCGGAATTTACCCATTATTATTACCCAGTAAAAATAAATTTACCCGATCGGGTAAACCCCAAATTTCCCCCCAAATCAAACCCAATCCCTAACCCCAAAAATATCTTCCCCGTCGACTTCTTTACCGGCTAAATCTGCCACTGTCCGGCCACCCCAGCACGAGACACCACTACCAAAATACTCACCGTCGAATGGTGATCAAAACCCAACCCCTATTTCGTCCAGAAACGACGTCGTTCGCCGTGGATCAACCAACGAAAAGCCATCGAAAACCCCCATCACCAAGTGAATTTTTGACATTTTCGATCACGTCCGACGTTGTTTTTCCTCACCGCTACCTCCATTGCACCCATTGGTGTCGTACGATTAAACCCCGACCGAAATCGTCGAGTCGTTGTTTTTCCATTATCGTCACTCGACCATCGTTGAAGAAGTTTGTACGTTTTAAAAATCTGCAATCCGTTATATTTCGTTGAAAAATAACACTTGCACGAGAATCTCGAGGTCCCGATCTAACAATCTGAAAAATTTCATTCTGAAACGACGACTGGAACCGTCGCACGGGCCGCCTCTGCGTGTGGGCATCGTCTGCTAGCCTGGGGAGTGGACTGAACCGGTGTGGACCGAGCCGAGCCTAGCCGCCTGAGGGAGCCATTGACCGTTGACCTTTGACCACTGTTGACCAGTCATTGACTTTTTCTGGATACACCTATTCTGATGTTTTTCGACGTCCTGAGTCTGTTTCGCCAAATTTGAACCCGATAAGCTGTTTTTCACTGATTAACCACCCGATTCGATCTGTTTTTCACAATTAAGCTCTGTTTTGAATGAAATTTATGTTGATGTGTATATGTGGAATTATTGGACATTGAATTAAAGATAGAGGGTAATCAAATGGAGTTTAAATGTTCGATTGGTGGGGTACAAAAATCGAGGTAATACTTTACCACCTCTTTGCATGCTTTATGGAATATGTTGATAAATGGATAAATGCATGGATGTATATGATTGGTCTATTATGCATGTTTGATTATGGATGGACTCGAACTGAATACAGTTTAAGTGATAAATTGTTTAGGACTCTATTGAATTAAATAAATGAATTGAAAGACTGGTAAGAAATGATTTCTAGTACAGTGATTAATATGAAGAACAAATGACCTTATATTTATTAAATTCTAATTATTTTCGTTAAAAGGTTTAATACCAGAATCACCTGATTATAAAATTAGGAAATTGCCCTATGGGGTAAAAATGGTATGGACTAACCCTCACAGTAAAGGTACCCTGAGAATTCATATTTTAATCCGATAAACTACTGATTCACCTGTTAAACAACTGATATGTTCGGAAAGTCACTGATAATCAAATTCTTACATCCGAAAAGGTACAATACTTAGAATTATCATTTTATCAGCAAATACCAAAAGGCCAAAACATTAAAAGAATTATTTATTGTTGAACTATATTTTGATATAACAATTTAAGGCAAAATGTTTTTGGACTTGAATTGAATTTATTCAAAGTTTTCAAAAATAATTCAAAGTCCTTAAAAGTTTGGAATTGAGCACAAAATAATTTTCAGTACAAGTAGTATTGATACTGTTCTTATAGTATTGATACCAATTGAACAAGTACCAATATTATTCACATGGTACCTATACCAAAGGTAAGGGAAATATCGATACTCACTAGGTAGTACCGATACTACCAGCTTTGCTCAGATTTCAGAATGCAAAAATGGTACCGATACCCAAAGGGGTACCGATACTACTATGTATAGTAGTATCGATACCATTGCCATAGTATCGATACCATCAGGCCCCAACGGCTAGTAACGACTAGTTGATTTAAATATTAACAAAGGTAGTATCGATATTCCCTTTAGGAGTACCAATACCCCTTGGTCTGGGTAACTTTATTTTGCACGAAAATTGATCTCCAACGGCTCCAAAAAACCTCCAACGGCTAGAAATGACCACAACAACATTCCAACACATAAATACAAGTTCAAGACACTTGAAGAAGGGTTAGAACGCCTATCCAAACAATCAAACACAAGAGAAGAGTTTTTCATTCTTATTTTCAATTATATTGTAAATATTTTGTTCTTGTGAGCTAAATTTTGTAAACACCTTCCTTATTTAGAGGTTTTCTTGTTTACATTCTTTTTCCTTTTGTAAAGGGTTTTTGGTTCTATCTTAGCCACTTGAAAAGATAGGGAGTTGTAAAGGTTATCTCTTGATCATTTAAAAAGAAAGAACAAATTAGTGAATTTGTTAGAAAATCCTTAGTGAGGAGCTAAGGTAGTGGATGTAGACTTGGTTGAGAAGTCGAACCACTTTAAATCCTTGTGTTCATTGTTTTATTTTTTTCTATCCTTACACCAAAATACCCCTGAATAGTAAAATAAATCTAAAATATTTCTAAACCCTAGAATGACTAAATTATATGACCTAGTTGAACTAAATGAAAGAACTGTATGTATCCGAATTTCAGAAACGGCCAAATTACTTTGGAAACTCTGAAGTAATCGGGATAGACTTGACTATTAAATGACCTAAGTACCTCGATGACCTTGAATTAAGTGAATAACTTGGATAAGTCTAGAAAAACTGATGATCTTATATGTTGTATCGTCCATAAGGGTTTTGAATCAAGAATCAAGCACGTTGACATTTTCTAATAACATTGCAATGCCGAATTGGAATAAAGACCATTAGAATATCTGTTCGTCTCCCTAAGATTCATTTCACGATGGTTCTGAAGATGATCAATTTGACAAGAATTACTTGTATTAAAAAGTACATACACTGGAAGTGTAACGATTTGAGCGATTGACATGTATCATTGATGAGACTTGTACAGTTAGGATTAACTCGATATTCTGATAGATCAATACAAATCGTAAATGCCCTGAGTCTTTGTTTCTCCCTTATCAGCTCAAATCACTAAGGATTCTCCAAGAACCTAATGCCCAAAATGCCTCTGATTTCCTGAATAATGGAATCACTACTGTCATATTTGAAAACACAAGTAACTCAGATGCAAAGGATTCTGAATACCTTTCTGATTTCATAGTACCTCCGAAAAATGTTTGAATACTATATGATCCTGTTAAATCATGTTCTGAATAATTGATGATTTCATCAGCTAATGAACTCTTTCAATAGTGATTCTAATTTCCAACATTCTATCGGTATACTGAAGATCTGCGTTTTCCTTCCTGATAAGATTATCAAGTATCTCCGAATATGGAACCTCTAGTGTGTTCCCTGATCATCATAGATATTTTCTCTGATTTTAAAAGTATGACCATGTTATCTGGAATATAGTTTGATCTCTGATTTCTGTTCTAATCTCTGATCTTTGTTCAGATTAATGATATCTATATTTACTGACTGAAATTATTTTTATATGGGGTACTCTGGGACTCTGGTATGACTAAAGACATTGGTAGGTTCAGTCGCTATTGGTAATTCCTTGTATAGGTTCAGCACCGACTGGTAATTCCTTATGGACCTAAGATGACCCTTGGGTGGGCTCTTGGGCCTAATAGGCCTATTGATAAGACCTTATGGACCCTAAGGCACTCCCTTAGGGATGACACCACTACTATGTGCTTTTGGGTAAGACCTTATGGACCTGAGGGCACTTCCCTCATGTGGGCACCTATGCATTGGCTAGGGTAAAACCTTATGGAACCAAGGTGCTCCATTAGGTTGGCTCATATGCCCTTTTGGGCCTAGGGTAAGTCCTTATGGATACAGTTATGGAAATCTGTATATTGGCGTTCGATTGGAGGGTTTTACTATGGTTTTTAAAAAATATGTTTTTAAACTGCTACCGTTTTAAAAAGATTTGTATATTTTCACTGGTTTTGTGGGAACACACTATGCATCCTAGTCTGATCTACTGAACCTAGTCCTCCGAATGTTTACTATGAACTAGAAGTTTCATGTCTTTTATTACCTAAGATATCACTGGGACCTCAGCTCAGCATAAGAGTCTGTAGATGTCAGAACCAATAAGGAAAATTTATGTTTACCTATTATCTGCATGTCCTTCAGCATCACTTGGTAGTTATGTATTATTGAGCTTTCCAAATATCACTTTGTTACTCATTATTTCATGTTAAAATAGTTGAACCAGTGCATCTACCAAATTTAGTAAAGGAGTTCCATTGGCGTTGCTTGCGGAGTACGATACATGTGATTAGGGCCATGTATGTTGTATTTTATTATATATATGAGTCTAGAATCTGATTTATTTTTTTGAATATTGTTAAACTCTACTTTTGTATTTATAAATTATTTTATAATTTTAAGCGTTTTAACAAAAATTTTAATTTTTTGGGTTTTTACGGTGGGTCGCTCTGGTGACCCTAATGTGACACCTCGTATCAGATCAGGTCACCCATATCAATCTATGGGTGTTATAAAACATCCCCAAATGGCTAGATATCATCCCCAACGTCTATAAACTACTACAACTTCATTCCAACATATAAATACAAGTTGATGACACTTGAAGAAGGGTTATAACACCTATCCAAGCAATCAAACACAAGAGAAGAATTTTTCATTCCTATTTTACTTTCTCTTGTAAATATTTTGTTCTTGTGAGCTTTTTTTTGTAAACACCCTTCCTTTAAGAGGTTTTATTTTTTTATATTTTCATTCTTTTGTAAAGGGGATTAGTTCTAGTTTAACCAAGTGAAAAACTAGGGAGTTTGTAATGGTTACTCTTGATCCTTGAAAAAGAAAGAACAAATTAGTGGATTTGTTAGAAAATCCTTAGTAAGGAGCTAAGGTAGTGGAGGTAGACTTAGTTGAGAAGCCGAACCATTATAAATTGTTGTGAAAAACTTTATACCCTTTCTTTCTCCTTACTCCTAAACTATTTTTGCCAATTAACCCATCTTGCAACTTTTTTGGTTATTCAATTGAGCCTCTTTTATCCTAACAATTGGTATTAAAGCTTGAGTCGTTAGAAGGTTTCACATCCTTGAGACGATCATCGAATAAGCTCTACTGATTCCTGACGTAATCAATAAGAAGATGGTTTCGACCTCCGACTCTTACTACATTGAAGATTTTCAACCGGTCAACAAGCCACCCTACTTCAATGGAGAAAATTATGCCTATTGGAAGAATAAGATGATGCTCTTCATTCAAGCCAATGATCTAGGAGCTTGGAACTCAATCATGAATGGATACTTCATTCCACCAGGTGAGATGGATGATTGGAGTGATGGAGAGAAAAAAAAATTTCAACTCAATGCTAAGGCTATGCACATCCTCTTTTTTGAATTAAGCCCGGGTAGGCCTGTAAACGAACCGAACACACATGAACGGAGGTATGTTCATGTTCCTTCATTTAATAAATAAACGAACAAATTTTTTTTGTTCATGTTCGTTCATTTAAATGATAAACGAACATAAACGAACGTAAACGAACACAACGAACGGACATAATAAATGAACATAAACGAATACAATAAACGAACAACACAAACACAAACACAAAAAACAAACTTATTCGAACACACCAAATGAATGTAAAAAAAAAAAGTAAACAACAAGAATAACAACTTAAAATTCATTAATATAACCTGCAACTTTAGAGTTAATTTGTTCGAATACGACAAAAATATACATAAATCATAAATAAGCTATATGAACTTAATG